GAAACAGTTTCAATAGCTCAGTTTGGAAGAGCGAAGTTTGTTCAACGAAGCGTGCTATTCTGTTTTGTATGACAGCTTTTAAAAGAGGGTCTTCCAGAAGAACGACCATATCGGCTGCCGAAAAATTTTAGATTTCGAATTTGATTATCTCATTTGAAACTCTAGAAAAAGTTATTATGAATATCCAAATGTTAGCTCATTCTGACTTATAAAAAAATTGTAGGAACTTCATTTCTTTGAATTTTCGAGTCATGCTCTAAAAATCGACATTTTCAAACGTGGTCGTGTTTTGCGATTTTTAGTATCATGGACGAATGTATTAAGAGTTACTTGGCTGAATTTTTAATATGTTGTAATCCTGCTCATGACGCATCTTTTGGTATGGTATTTCTCTTTGAAAAGTTTTATTAGGAGGTCAGTTTCCCTTCCTTAACATAGTATTATTGAATTATTTCGTGAATAATTCGAGAATGCAATCATTTAGATAGTTTGAAGTTTTACAATCCGAAAGATAGTGGTGGCTCTTATTACATTTGATGGATCATTGAGTTAGCCGCCACTGAGCACTTCTCGCTAAATAATTAACTGAAAAATTTATCGAACGAAGTTTCACTCCTTCTCTATCGCGTTCGATATAAACCTGATTAATGCCATGTTAACTCAGTATCTATGCATCATATCTATATAGTACGTTTTTTGTTCACTTTTCTTTTGTTCCTGTACATGTTTGTCAGACATGCTGTCTTTCCATCTCTTCTTGCAAAAATCATCAGATATATTTTATCTCTTTCTTACTTTTTCTTCTTTATATTTGTTGTTATCAGCCCACTGATATAACTTATTGCTATTCTCAGTCTATTGATAATATAGATTTATGATTATGGAAAAAGTTCAGAATATCATGAGAAAAAATACAATCAAAAAGAGGGAAAATATGTCATCGAAATTGAGAAAACAAAAAAAACGAAAAGAAAAGAACATAAAATTAGTCTATACAGCAGCTAGAAATAAATAACGAAATAAAAAGTACCAAACCAGAACAAAATACATTTTTAGGTTTTATTTATACACATATCTCGTTCTGGTTTAATACTATTTATTCCATTAAAAGAGAATATGTTGAAAAATACCTGAATTTACAGGAAAGATAACAACAATTTATGCATCACACGAGTTCGCGATTTGATAGCAGAATAGTAGAGAGAATAAAAAAAAAAGAAATATAATGATGAATTATTTTCTACGCTTTCGATATCGTTCGCTTGCGTTCCGGTGCATTCTCTTTTCATCTTGCTGTAGCATACATATAGGTATCAATGATCATAAAAGAGCAGTTACTCTACTGTTTTAGTCGACTTTTGATTTGTCTTTGCACTACTCTTATTTCAGATATATTTTTAAAATGACTGAAAGCAATCTAGACAGTAGAACTCAGGAAACGCACAGGTTGAATAAGAAAATTTTTTCTCTTTCGTCATAGGCAATTACATTCTAACTGAAAAACTTGTTTACATGCACTGTAGTCAAACTGAAGAAGATAGTTTTATATGATATGTAAAGCGTGCTGTAGCAGATATTGAAAGATTTTGTTTTACAATTTAAGCGGAAATCTAGTAATAAATAGTGATTTTGAGGGTGTTCACTCAGAAAACATGCAAATATAGTTGAAATCGTTGAAAAAAACAATATACTGCTTATGTGTGTTCAAAAACTTTAGGATAGAATAAATTAAGAAGCTTGATGTCTTTTATTTGAAAGCCGACATTAATTCATTGATACATGTTACATGCATCAGATTAAGGAGTCTCTAAATATATTACTCCTCATGCATATTAATAAAATTTATTGTGTTCAATAAGGCTTTCTTTGTCTTTTTATCTTCGAATCTACTCATCAGTTAGTACTATCCTTGGAATTGTGTTTGACAAGTGTGTAAGCAAATCCGAACACAACAGAGAAGGAATGAAACTTAGTTCTATAATTTCTTTAGTTATTTAGCGAGAAGTGTTCAATGGTAACCAATTCAATGATTCATCAAATGTAATAAGAATCACGTCTGTCTTTTGGATTATAAAACTTCAAACTATCTAAATGATTGCATTCTCGAATTATTCACGAAATAATTCAATAATACTATGTTAAGGAAGTGAAACTGACCTCCTAGTAAAACTTTTCAAAGAGAAATACCATACCAAAAGATGCGTCATGAGCAGGATTACAATATATTAAAAATTCAGCCTAGTAGCTCTTAATACATTCGTCCATGACACTAAAAATCGAAATGATGGAAGAGAAAAATCGCAAAATATGACCGCGTTTGAAAAAGTTTATTTTTAGAGCATGACTCGAAAATTCGAAGAAATGGCGTTCCTACAATTTTTTTTATAAATAAGTCAGAATGAGCTGATATTTGGGTTTTCATAATAACTTTTTGTAGAGTTTCGAATAAGATAATCAAATTCGAAATCTAAAATTTTTCCGCAGCCAACTTCTGTTCACGTGGGTCGATCTTCTGCCGGACTCTCTTTAAAAAAAAAAGAAGTAAATAGAAAAAGCCTATCTATACCTTTGTTAGCCCTTCGAATTCAGTTCGAATGGCATATATCATTTGACTACATATCTTGTCAAAAAGAAAATAGATACGTTTATACGCTGTACTCATGATACCTGCGCAATGGACCATTGGATGTGGAAAAAAATTTTTCATGCTGATCAAGAAAAAAAGTACTCTCAGAGTTGTGAGAAAAAGATACATAGAAATGTTTTAGTTTCTTTTTGTGAATACAAGAACGAAAAAATGAAAAAAAATCACCCATTTTCTTAAACAATTTTGTGAGCTCTATCTCATGGCATATAAATCACCGAAATAAAAATTTGCTCAAACTTTGGATTGCCTGCACTTTACACACCTGAGAATCTTCTTACTTGTTAAGGTGTATTCAAATACTCAGATATTTGCCTGAAAAGAAACCAAGGGACGTACAATGAGATTAATATTTGCAGTTGCGTTCAAATGATAATGAATTATCGCTTACGAAGATACCTAATATCAGAGTGATATTTTAACAAATGAACATCCTTCAAAAACGCTGCTATATAAAATATGGAAACCAACCCTTCTACCTGAACCATTACGACATTGCGCCGTCTTTGTCCGGTAAGAGCTAGTTATAATCTGTGGCTATCGATAAGTTTAGATTTGAGTGTTTTGGTGAGGTTGAAGAGAAGAATTTCACTGTCATTATCATCGTCAACCACACGCCACGACCAGCCAAATCTTCAACTCTATAAAAAATCGGATCAATGTAGAAACTATTCAATCGCTGTATGAAGTTGGATTTTAAACCTTTCCAACAGAATCTGACATTGTGAGCTAAATCTAGGCGCCTGTTTAATGCTATTAATTTTTCTTTCCTTTTATTGCGCTCCTTTTCATCTAACTCGTTCATTTCAGTCACACGCAAACACACCATACTACGTTGTTTCTAATTGCTATTGTTGTTGTTGTTGACGACAGAAAAAGGAAAGTGATCGACAATAAGTGAATGTATGCTATTCTTGAAATCATTTTAAAATTTTATGTGTTTGTTGACAACTTGTGAGTGTCTTTTACAAAGAGTTGTGCCATTGTTATGCATCAATTTTATGTTATGATTGTTTTTACTATTTTTTTAGCATTCTATATCAGTGAATTGAATTGGATTTTTTCCAACAGGACGTTTGTTCAAAAATCTATTGCACTAAGAAATATAAAAGGCACGTTTTTTTATTTAGGTTATGTCAAGTCCCGATTCGGCTGTTTCTCCTAGGGCAGATTCATCGAAGAAATAATGTTCCAAATAGAATCCGATGTACTCTATCATCCATGGGAAAAAAACGGTTGAAGAACAACGGATAAAAACACGTTTTTCTCTTGAGAGAACGCATTTTTTCTGCAAACAAATCGCGTTTCTCTCTACCCGAACTGTGTTCAGAAAAAGATCGTTTTTAGGCAAACAAAAACACGTTTCAATAGAACGCTAAAAGCGTTCCCATGAGACGTTATATTTTTCTAAGAACAATACATTCATGACAGCTGCTTTTTAAGAACTTTTTTTCATGGATAGTTTTTATTACGCTATTTCTAATTTTCGAGTTTGCCAATAGATAGAGCATCAAAAGTTGAGTCAGTAATGAATATTTCAGACTGATTTGATACCATAATGAAGCTATATATATATATATATGTGACTTTTTGCATATTTCTGTGTTTTAAGCATTTCCTATGACAAAAATTTCATAAAAAGAACTTCCATCAACGCATTTTTATCAGTTCTTTTTCATCCTTTTTTCCATGAACACGTCATGAAAATCATATATCAACAACGGATTCAATTATTGAATAATTTTCAATAGATCATGCAGTCATAGTTATTAATAAGTTGAGTCATATAAAATTTTTAGATTTTTTTGGACGGAATCGTTCAGAAATACGTTCGAACAAAATTACTGCTGCTCCGAGTACAACCCAATGAGCTGTATTAGATGCTAAAAATCATTTCTTGATAGCACGTTCTATTGTTGAGAAAATCTTCTATGACTCATCTTAATACTAGGCATCATGATCGCACAGTATATTGGAAATTTCTCAACAAAGAAACGCGCGCTATCGATAAATACTTTTTAGCAACTGATAGAGATCCTCGAATTTCACTTAGAACATATTTTTGGACTCTGAACTTGATATAACTAATATTCTCTCAAGACTTGCACAAAGATTTTCTGATTGTTTCCCTTGTAGCTTTTGGTTTCGAGTGATTTTTGTCTTGCTTTTGATGTGTATCACGGTGCGGTAAAAAAACTCCTCACTTAGTAGTATATTCATCTCTTCTAATAGTGATATGAAATGAACAAACTTCTCAGTCAACTTACGCCCAATACAGTAGATAAGATTTAATTTTTTTTCCTATGAAATTCTAACTATGTTATATTTTATTCTAGATTAAAACAAATCTGGCAGAATGAACACAACATTGCATGCGTCACTACTGACAACAGAAGAAAGATCGAAATCGGTACGAGAATGTTCTTTATGCGGTTCAATTGCTAATTTTGCCTGTATCGATCATTGTAAAGCTGTTCTCTGTGCTCGATGTACTAGCAAACATCGTGCTGATGTCATTCAACAAATGCATGAACTTCTTAAACGATTGAAAATGTACCAAATGAAATTGGCTAATTCCAATAATATATCCGATAGAAAATCGATTCAAGTATCAAATGCACTAGAACAAAATACCGATAATCCTACAGAGTAAGTATCTCAGCTTTATTGGATCTGAAAGAACAAAGATCATAATAGTTTTGATAACGAGACATACTCATAGAGAAATTCTAGTAATTTCACATTCATTTGCAATCTCTATGACTTAGAAAAGTTCAAGTCCAGGGAACTCTATGCTCATTACAGCTTCTATGAAACATTTATTTGATCATTATATAATTTATTTATTGTTTAGTTCCAACTTATCGGTCATAGCAAGAAATTCTTTGGAAACTTATTTCATTATTCTCAAAGAACATCTTGAAAAGGATCACTTACTTGATGCAAAAACACTTGCTGATTTAGATATGCATCTCAATGATCAACTAGATCAAATCACTAAAAAGTTTCCAACTCTTACTGCTTCTCATAATTTTGACACGAACACATTTTTACTTCGTCGTTCTCGTATGAGACCACAAACAGCAAGAATAAATTTATCAAAGACAATTACTATCTCACTCAACATTCAAAAAAAATTTCCACTTCCTTTTGAACGTTCCTTTTCGATGGGTCCACATCCCATAGTTGTTTCACTGATTGATTCCTATCTAGAAACATTCTTTTGTCAAGGACGAGATAATAGTGTCATATTACTCAGCTTATTATCTATTGATGTGTACACACGTGGTTCTGGTTTAACTTGGTCTATTCCACTTAGTCGAGTGTTAGGTAATATAAAAGATAAGATCTTTGCAGGTGTTTGGTGCTCTCACATTGAACGGTTAATTCTTGTTGGTCGATATTATTTTTACATATTTGATATCGATAGACAAAGAATTCGATGTGTTCGCAAATTTGGATGTGGTGCTCGTTGTAGTTCTGGCACAATGCCACCAATACCACGTCGTAACGTGACAATAAGATATCGTTGTCAATCAACTTATGATGATTGTACTGATTCTCGAAGATTTCTTGCAAGCAACCACAGTGGACTTATATTCTATGGTGAGTTTCAACAGTTTTTTCAAAAACAAAAAATAGTTTTCTCAAACCTATTTAGAATGCTTATAGTTCATATTGTGCTGAAATTCGATGTTTTGATAAAGACCTAGACTTTTACGAAACAAAGCATATCGTTTCGTTCAATATTAAACATGAATTCCTTAATAGGAAAGTTTCAAAAATTTGGAATTCTTTATTGAAATGAATTTTTTTTACTTTTTTCGGTCACAAACATCATCAAAAAATAGAAAAAAAAACACCTTAAAATGTAATATTGACTTTCATCAGTAGAAAATGTTCCACTTGCAGAAGAGATCAATGTAGACCCTTGATATACATTTGTCATTCATTTTAGCCTACAAATCTGGAGCAGATACATATCAATTAGAAACTCATACCTTGACCTATCCGATGGATAGTGCAGAGCAAGAACAAGAAAAACAATTGTCTACATATGATTCACACAATACATTGAATGACAAAGAAATGAAATTAATTAATCATTTATCGATTGATGGACAATTGGCTGCTATCTGTGTATCCTATGATCATCTAGCTTTTGTTTATCGACGTTTTCCACGGATTGAAAAATCGACTACACAATTAAGACATTCATTGGAAATTGATCATTATTTTGCTTTGTACAATCATTCTCTTACAAAATTAGCTGATCATGTTCGTCTACCTTCGTCAATTCGATGGGTGACAGCAATCGTATCTTATGGGACAGAATATAGATATCTTCTATGTGATCCTCGAAGTCAACAATTACTTCTCTATCAAGCTATGGATGGTGTTCTCAATCGTCGCTTTCATATCGGACCAGTCAATGCATGTTGTCTTACGGATGGTCGACTAGTTTTGTGGATACAAAAAGCATATGCTAGTTCACCAATTGGAAAGTTACATTTTATCAGTACTCCTCATCTAGAAAAGTATGCATTGGTATCCACATCATTTGAACTTTTGAAGAAATCATACAAATAATATCTAGTGATTGATTCTTTTACATTACTCATATATTGAACTTGTCATTGAAAATTTTTCACTTAAATTACTTTTCTATCAGTATTTATTTCCACTAATAATAATACAAGTTTACCTGCTTTCGAATATATTTTCGATTTCTTATTGTTTTTGAAGCATATATAGATTCATCAATATATGTTTTCATTGTCAATCATTAGTATTCTTATTTCATTACATCGCACTTATCAGAATTATCTATGTACTCTTCATTTCTTTTACATAGTATTTCATATTATTTTCAGAAATTTCTTTTTATTTCTAGTTATTATTTATTGTGATTCACTTCAAAGTTAGGATGATCGTACTGACAATATTTGAAAAAAGTTCCACTCAATTTTACTTTGCTTGTAGAAGCTTGTCCTTTTAAACTCTGCCCAGATCGAAGCTCATTTCTCTAAAACAAAAGTGACCTACTGTCTGATGATAGAACTCAGTTTCATGGTTCTTCCTCGGTTAGGTCACTATTTTCATCTAAAAATTGCTTCAGTTCTTATTAGGTAGCAGTTACACAAAATATTGAAAGACCTAATATGATTGAATTCAATATAGTGTCCTACTCAAGCACTTCATTAAAAAAAATCACTTCAATTCTAACATTATATATTCTCGTAATTCTTCAAAGCATTTTATTACAAAGAAATGATTGTCTTACTCAACATTTTCAAAAATACATTAATCACTCAAAAGCAGAGGTCAATGCTCTGTTCCAACGAAGAATGCTCGTAAGTATTGACATCACATAGTAATCGCTCTATAGCTCTGTATCTTTGTAATAATAGTCTTGCAAATGATGTTAGTATTTTAAAGTAACATTTTATTCATTCAAAATTCAACACTTCTAGCTGAATCTGTCATCATAAAACTTGTTCATTAATATCTCTTATTAGTGGAATACTCAATGAAAAAAAAGAAGCTTTACTAAGTGGTGTTGTCGAGAGAAAAAAAAATCTTCAGATAGCAGACACACTAAAAAAGATTCGAAATGAAATTCCAAGAATATATTCCAGTACAGTTCAATTAATCTTATAATGCTTGAAAAATTTTGATGGACTCGTTCGGATTTATATTATAATCACATTTCGCAGGTCACTCACATCAAATATACTTATTAGAGATCGCCACATATACGTTTTTACTTTTTTACTCAGGTAGACAAAATCGATAAAACAAAACACATGTTTTCATTCGTTACAATGTACGCTTTTTACATGTTAAAAAACTTGTATTTAAAAGAAAGTCAGTAATATTCCTACGCCGATGCTTACCTATAAAATTACTTTTTTTCTGCTTTCTTTTTGTTCAGTTAATAATCCGTTCAAACTTTGTGAATATTAATAATTCCTACGCTCTTGATTACTTTTTTTTTTATTCATGCTCATTGATCCAATAATATGCAAACAGAAGATCTTTCTCTTATTCATACTAATGAACTTAATTAATCAAATTATATGGAGTTCATGGAGCAAATGAATAATAAAATAATTCAAAGTTTCTATTTTTGTTTTGTTATAGGAAATTTTTATTTTTTAAATCTATCAAGATATATCATGATCTACGTAGCTAGTATCGTTTTTCGGTCGAGACTGAAATTGACACAAAATAGTTGAGCTGAAGAAATGGCAATTTTTTAAAATTATGTTTCATTAATTGATGAAATTCATTGCAAATGATCTTTCGTCAATTACTATAATTATTTACTACTTAATCGTATTTTCCGTTTGTACTGGTTGTGTTCGTTTTTATTCACTCGAATGAATTACATTCGAAAGTGGAGAGCATGGCTGAGTGTTCTCTCTAATCACAATTACATCTCCAATGTCTAAAGTATATTGCATTACAAAAACAATTATACTGAACTATCTGCTAGTATATATGAGTTCCACACTTTAACCCAAGAATGACTGTGCTAACAAGTTTCTCTAAAAGAAATTTCTTATCTTTATATATTTGGACTATACGATTAAGAGAAGTAATAGGAGTACGACATTAAGATGAAAATTAAAGATTATAAATGCGGGATTGATTAAAACACTTCTGTTCATTGTGATTGGTAAGTATAACGACGGCTAATACATTCAATAAGACACTATCATTAGATTAATCTAATATACAGAATATATAAGTTTCTATTGTTTGATTCTTAATTAGATTAGATACTTTCTCGTCATGGAATGCATAGAATTAGTCGTTCAATAAAAGTGATCTAGTGCAGATAACTATTACTATGAATATTGACGAAACTGATAAAAATTGCTATGGTGTTGCAAATTCAAAACTGATTCAGATTAATAAAATATTATAAGTTAGATCACATTAAGCAAGATGATTTTATTTTCCATGAAAGTAAACCAAATTCTTTCGAAGAAGTGAACATAATTCTCGGGACGAAATTTCCCTTTCCCCAGTTCTCATGACAGATAAAACACTGTTTGGTAATATCATAAATAGTTTTAATAAGAGTGATGAAAATCGATAATTTAATTTTACTATAAAAAAAAAACTTTTTTTAATTTATTCTTTTCATCAAAATCGATCGTGTATTAACATCCATCTGTTCCATAGTATATCCATGACATATTAAGTAATTTGCAATTTCAATTGGATCTTTCGAACGATAAGAACTCGTATGTGTAAGTATAAATGGACATCCATGAAGAGCTGGAATTTGTGAAGGATGTGGTTTAGTTTGTGCTGATGTTGATGACGCATGTTCAAAACTAATATGTACATACATAGGTTCATCATTTGATGATAGGTTTTTTATTGATGATGATGATGATGCAGAATGAACTTGTGGTAACATATATTTATCAATAATTGCTTGACGAAGATCATCATGCATAATTGTTAATATTCCACAGCGATAATATGTAAGAATTGAAGAAAAAATCATTGAATCTTCATCAATAACAAATGAATTATCAGCATCACGTGAATGAAATGATGAATTTGTTTCATTAGCAATTAATCTTGCTAGAAAACTATTTGGATATCTTTCTAATGTTTGACGATATATACCAAAAACATCTCCATTTGTTAATTTAAATTTAATTGTATCTGTCATTCATAATCTAGAAAAAAAAAACAAACAAAAACAAACAAAACGAATTAACTTTTCCTAATAGAATTATAAGACAAAAAATATGAAATATTAAGGTGGCATACGAATAGCACCATCTAAACGAATATTTTCACCATTTAAATACTTATTTTCAATAATATGTTGTGCTAATCGAGCAAAATCATCTGGTTCACCAAGTTGAGATGGAAATGTTACCATTGACGCAAGTAATTTTTTTCCTTTTTCAGATAATGGTTCTACCATTTTTGTTTGATCAAATATACCAGGTAGAATTGTACATACACGAATACCAACACTTGCAAGATCGCGTGCTATTGGAAGTGTCATACTTACTAAAGCACCACTAGCTGCTGAATAAGCAACTTGACCTAAATTAACCGGAGAGTACTTTAAAATATTATTTTTCTTAAATTATTAAATAAAATTAACCTATTTGTCCTTCATATGCAGCAATACTTGATGTATTAATAATTATACCACGTTGTTCATTTATGTCTGGTTGATTATCAGCCATAATATGACATGCTCTTCGTAGAACATTAAAAGTTCCAACAACATTTACATTCATTACTCGATAAAATTCTTCCATTGAATGCATACTTCGTTTCTAATGAATACAAAAAAAAATAATATATTTGTTATTAAAGAAATAAAATATACATTTATATTATAACATCGAAATGCAACACCAATTCCAGCACATTGTACAAGACAATTAAGTTTTGAATTTTTTTCTTTAATTTTTTTAAACATTTCTTCAACTTCATTATCATTTGTAACATCAACAGAATGATATGTAACTAAAGATGAATCCATTGATTTAACAATATCTTCACCTTTCGATATTGGTAAATCACAAAAATGTACATGACTTATGCCTTGTTTTAAAAAACGATTAACACAAGCTAAACCAAGACCCGATGCACCACCGGTTATTAATGCTACCAAACCATTCATTTTAATAAAATGAAATTTTTATATTTCAAATCAATTTATTGATTCGTTAAATATATCATTCAATTATAAATAAGTCTTATACATCTAGCGACAATAGATTATAGAGGTTCGATGAAAATATTCATTGGTTAATTTTGTTGTTTTGTGTTATTGATTGAAATTTCTTTAGATTTAGAGATTTTATTATTGAATGGCAGATACAACTGAAGAACTCCCAACAAGTGTAATTGATACTAGTGAAGAATCGACAAAATGGCAAGCATATTGGGATGAAAATTATAAACGTTATTATTGGTCAGATGGAAATGAATCGGTAAAATCATTTATTTCATTTTTTTTATTTATTGAAATTTAAATTTTTTAGGTATGGGAAACTCCGAAAGGTTGTGTTGAACCATCTCCACCTGAATCAAAATCATCTTTAACTATTGAACAAGAACAACAAGAACAAGAACAACAGTATTCAACTAATGATTATGCTTTATCAATGGCATATGCAAATGTACAACCAGATCTTCGTTATCAACCTTATATAATTCCTCCTGTTATTCCAAGTACAATAAATTCAGGAAAAAGACTTGTTGGACAAGATGCACGTGATCTTCGCCAATTATATCATTATTTTGATTATAATGCTTGGAATGAAGAATTAAATCGAACAAATGGTAATCAAAAGAAAAAAGTTAAATTAACAAAAAAAAAGAACTTGATGCTATTAAAGCACGTCGTGCTGCAATTAAAAGAAAACATCGTGATAAATGGTTACTTGAAGATTGAAAGTTGTTTTTTCTTTTTTCTTTTGTGTGTATGGATATTGTCGTCATTCATTTCTTTTGGTTTTGCTTTCAACAATACAAGAAGAAACCAATGTTTTTTTTTTGGAACCTAAATTGTATAAAGAATTAAATATTCAAATAGATATATTAAAAAAAAGAAGTCTAGCGATGAATATAGGGAATTTGTATTTAATTTTTGTTTTTGTTTTGTAAATATGCATGATTAATTAACATGATAAGACTAATGAATTGTAATTTAATGATTGTAGTAGAGTAAATAAGTCCCCAGTTAAACATGCAGCGAACCCAAACGTATAAGTTCTGTTTTAAATGCAATCATTTTCAGTTAGTTGATGAAGTAAGCTAAAAGAAAGAATTTCAGGCTTAGCTATCGTAGATTTACACACAATGGAATAAATAATCCAAAAGACAAAGGTCTGCAAACATCCTAAAAAAAGTCAATAATGTTCAAAAATATTCGAAGGTAAACCTTAGGATACTTCTATAATTGTCCATATATTTCAAGAAACGCTTGGGCAATTATCCGACATTGTTTGAACGGTGTGCTATAGAAAGATCGAAAATTTTCACTAACAAAACATTCTTTATTTTTGGCACTAGGAATGTGGGTGTGGGTCATACGTGGAACCGATCGGTTGACATTGTTGATTTAACCGACGAAAAATCTGTGTGCTGACTACATCAACTAAGTAGTCAGCCCTTTCGAGAAACAGTCTTTGAAGACATACAATGTAAAACTCATATTACCCTTCGGGTTTCTAATAGTAACAGTTTCAATTTTAGTTTGCCATGGTTCATCTGGTGACTCACAGCAACTAATAATGAACAACAATCTATAGTATGTATTGGCTGATTTTTTTCAATAATAATAATAATATGATTTATTTATAATTGATCAGTTTGATCTATTCTTATTTGAAATAATTATTTAACATAGCTGAAAGGCATCTCAATTTGTAAAAGAATACAATTGTCAATAGAAAGATAGTATGATTTTTATGTTAAATCTTCTATTTTAAGATTTCTTAATATCTAAATATTTCCACAATTGCATAATGTTAGCAGTTGGTAAGATCTTGACAACAGAATGGAATGTTTTCTGATATGTTGTAATAAAAGCATAAACTGAAAACTACTAGCGACGAGGATTTTATGAGAGCCGATTGAAAGTAGTTCAGAAAAGTATGCTCGAAATTTTAAGGTGAAAAATCTTTAATTTAGATTGAAATTAACTTCTAATACCTGGCTAATTTTTCTTGAATATAATAAATTTATTCAACATGATCCAAGGCCCTCGTCGTATAACGAGAAAAGTGTTAGTTCACTATTTAGAGCTGGGATTTTGACAACAACTGGAAATTTGTCAGTTAGGAACTTTCATACGTGAATCTCTTGATCATTAAGACCATGAAAATCGTTAAAAACCGAAAAAATAGGCCAACTTTGGTGCTCCAACAAATCAATAAAAATAAAAACAGTGAAAACCTACCAGTCCGGTTCTAAGTATAGTTTCGGTTATAGTCTTCCTTTCACCTATATTCACACCGATTCTGAAGGCATCACTTTTTTCAATATTTTTCCTTTCGATCTTTCTACGGCCAACCATCTGAACTGGTTGTATAGCTTCCAAATACCAAGCCAGACTTCAAATTCAATACATGCCTATTCTCAATATGTCTACCATTTCTTCATAATTTTGGATGGAACTGTTTTTTTTTTGCAAAGATGCAGCATGAAAATGTCTACAAAACGATAGAAAAACATTGGTTGAAAACATGAAGGCAAAAAATTCATTCGATAAGTACTGTAACTCTCTACTGCTAACAACTTTAAAGCATAAGATTGAATTTTTTATGTCTTAGTGTTGAAATATGGAAAAGCGTTATTGCCCAAGTTGTAAAACTTGAAAACCTTGCTTTCATAGTCATACTAAATAATTTTCTCAATAAATGTTTTTCATGCGAGATGGCCATTCCTGTTTTTCTTTTGATTTAAGAATAAAACACATATTTTTACTCCACTTTTTGTGTAAGTCGAATAGATTGATCATATTCGGGTCAAATAAGGGTGAACTTATGAGTGTGAGCAATATCTCTTTATTCACATCCACTCTTGAATAGCATCGAACAACAATGGAAAAGTCAGTGTCTTAATAATTGTTAAGCGAAATTATGAATGTCTTTTTAATTAGATACACAATGCAACATGAATGTGATACAATTGATGATTTTTGAAGATCTACATTTATTATAGAAGCAAACAATAATCGAGTCAAGTTAAAAATTAAATATTTCAAGAAAGATATGTTCATTTTTCTTGAAATTTTCAGGACTACATAATCGCTATTACACTTCTGTATAGGCAAAATTTCAGGTCAAAAGTCTTTGTTTTGGATTTTCAGGATCTCAATAAGATTAAAACAGCCATAACTCTTCATCAGTAGGCCATGAGTCTGAATTCCTTGAAACTTTTCTTAATCTTGCCAAGACCTACTCGTAATCAGAAAGAAGATGAAGTCGAATGATATTCGATAGTTGAATCTGTTCAATCTTTAGTTTTGTCTAATCTCATTATTGTTTTTATGTAGTGATTTAATAGATCAATCTTCATCTGAACAGATAGATTGGTTACAAAAAAATGACATTTCAATACTTTTATTAATCCTGATTTACAATAGGAAATAAATATATCAAGAATTTGTCGAACTATTTTCACTAAATTTTGCTAAACCACCATGTAAAAACAAGAAACTATTCATTTCTGTTTCTTTTGGCCATATAAGTTCATATGGTAATTGTTTATCAAGAATACGACGTGCACAAAGACATTTAAGTCGTAATGGTAATTGTTTTATTTTTAACAATGTTCGTATTGGATTTGCTTCAGCAATATCAAACGGAGTTCGATCATGTACATTCATACAGTCTATATGAGCACCAGAATTAATCAGTAATTGAACTACTGCTAATGAATCGATTATACTATTTTTACAACTGATATGTAAAGCGGTATTACCAGATGTCGCTTCTACTGCATTTATATCAATCCATTGATTGTAATGAGTAACAAGAAGTTGAGTGATAGCTAAATTCGGAAACCTAATAGAAATAAATAAATATGTATATAATCATTTATATGGAAAAATGATTTACTTAAGTATTGGTTTAATATCATGCGGTCGATAGTTAATATCATAATAAGTTTGTTCATCAACACATAAATGTAATAAAGTTTGTCCATGAGATGTAGTACGTTTTTGACGAGAAAAATCATTTATCCATTGATAAATTAATTGACGTTCTGTTTTAGTTAATGTTGGTCGTTCGAGTATTTTTATTGCTATAGCTAAAAAACATAATGCATTTTTAATATAATCATCTTTTGGTTTTTGTTGTGATGGTTCAAATGTAAGACGACATATTTGTACAAAACGTTGAGGAGAAATATAAGCATTAGCTGAAAGCATTCTACAAAATAACCAAACAAAACGATGAAGACCAGTTTCAAGATTCATATTTTGATATAAATAAAATGTATGTTCCCATAAATGAATACAACGTTCAAACTGTTCTTGTTCAACAAGTTTATCACCAATAATAAGTAATGGTTTAAATAATGTTTCATCTTTTTCAGGTACTAAAATACGTTCTCGAATTATTAATGCTTCAATATATAAACGTTCATTATCATGTTCAATTTTATTAAATTCTTCAATTATTTGACATTCTTGATAGAAAGCATAAGCAGCAATTGGTTGTACAATTGTTTTTGTTAGATTTTTTTTCTGTCGTATTTCATATATTTTATGCATTAATCTTATCATTCTTTGAAATTGTATCTGTTGAATTGTATTACTATTCACTACGACTATAAATGAACAAGCAACTAATTCAAGTTGTTTAATACCTATTTCACTATCACTGTGATCTAATAGATAGTCAACAATATCCATTCGATCATTTTTAGCTGCTAACATTAATGGTGTTTGTCCATTTCTATTCTTTGAAAAAGAACAAGCACCTGCCGTACATAATAAACGTACTATTTCTAAATAACCTTTCATCGCAGCATAGCTTAAAGCTGAATTATTCGATGTTGGAGTTACATAATCACATCGTGAACCTTTTTCAAGAAGAAATGCAACAATTTGTGTATGACCATGAATTACTGCCATAATAAGACTATTAAATTTATAATTATCATTATTTCTTGTATTATTGATATCCGCATAGCTATTTTCAATTAAAAAACGAATAGTATCAAGACGTCCAACAATAATAGCATCTATTAATAAAGGATATTTCGGACCATTATTAATTTTAGCTCCACCTATTTCAATGAGTGTACGCGCTACTGTATAATGACCTCGATCACAAGCACACCACAATGCTGTTGCATTTTTAACAAACGTTCCATCAATACGAAATACATATCCATGAAGTTCGACTAGTTTGGGTATATCTGATGAATGAGCAAGTATAACGCGTACCATTTCATCTTTTCCATATAGAGCGGCTAACATTAATAAGGTTAAACATTGTTCATCACGTAGATGTAAAAACATCAATATTTCATCAACATTCGATAAACTGTTGAGACGCGTATCAAGTTCATCTGCATGATCATGTTGACAAATTATTCCATATAATTCATCGTTGTCAGTTAATTCATTCATTTTTATCTAAGAAATAAAAATTCATTTCGAATAATTTTTATGCATGATTGTTTATTTCAACTTCGATCGAATTAAAATAACGACGCAACATAATAACACATGAAAATAATCGTATTTGACTGTAAATTTTTGTTTTTTCTTTATTACATATGAAAAGAAAAGAATGACGAAAACAAATAAAAACGAGTTAAAAGAAAAGAACGAACAAAAAAAAAAAAAGAAAGAAATTCGTTCGTTAGGAAGAAAAATATTCAATTTGAATAAACAAATATTTTTACTTTACTTCGGTATAACAGTATTTTCGATAGATAATTAAAGGAAACTGATTAGCTATTAAAACAACATCTAATTTCTTAAGACAAAAATTACGTTTTAAATTTCCTAATAAATTCTTCTCGAGTGGTAGATAGTATTTCAGTTTTTCATAATCATGATATTTTTTATATGTTAATTTTCTTTATCTATGTTTAATTATTTCGAATAATTTAAATTAAATTACTCCTTAACTTTACATATTATCGTCACCTTAATACATGAAAAAATTAGTTTGTCGATGTTTGTATTTTATAATATTAAAATGAAAGTTTCACAAAAAGAAAATTCTTCATTCATGTGAATTATTTTCTTAGAACTAAAAATTCAATTAATTATTCTTCTCAGTTCAATAAATGTCAGCTAATCTTCTGCTTTTTGTTTTGCTATGAAAACTAATATTAATTCTGTGTTAGAATAAAAATACACTTGTTACATATAAAGGATGGCATAGACGTCTTGACTCATTTTGTATACTATATATTTTCGTAGAATTCTCTTTCTACAAGAGACATAAAGTACAACGCGCTCTTCAAAATGACTATTAATTGATTTCATAAGAAAGTTGTTAAACTAGAAATGTCTATCGTATTTAAAAGTAAAGTCATTGTTATTAGTATATTCTCATAAAAAAAAGTGAAATCGTCAATTGAATGTACTTGAACTAATCAATTCACATAGTGATGTCGCTTTAGAATTATTTTATGATTAAGTGGATATTACAGGTGACGTGAATTAATTTTACCTTTGAAAGAAAAGAATTCTACATGAATAATCAATCTCTCTAAAAAAGAACCTACGGCTTCCGCCGTCGTGGTGGCGGCAACGGCTTCACTATAGACATTTCTGATAGGCGCATGGCTGAAGATGAGAGCAAGAATGACACTTACGGCGAGAGATCAGATAAAGGTGAGCTCTAGCACTCCAGAAGTATGGTTTTCTTTTGGTACAATTCAAATTTGTTAAATGCTATCCATAGATTAATCCAGATAAATCCAATAAATTCTGAAAAAATGAGTGCTGATAATCTCTTGTCACTAACCGATTATTGTTGTTGATAATCAACTAATGTATACACACTAATAATATTTGAATGTTGTTTTAAATGTTCATAAAATGATATATCGTGTATCGTTTGATCACTATCTAATTTAATTAATACAATAGGTAGTCTATTTATTTTATCTATTCATTTGGTGTAATTACCAATTGTTTGAAAAAAAAAGGACTTTGAGATTGTTTTGATATCCATACCTACTTTAGATTTGTATTTCGATTAACCTTTTTGATATGTTTCGTAACTAAACGTCGTACAATAGAATTTCTATGTAATGATGAAATCATTATGACTTTTCGTGTTAAAGGCTTTAGACCATTACATTTAATCCAATTGTTAATAGCACTAAAGTTCATATGAGTGATCATTTTCAGAGATAATCGGATCGAAAAATAATGAGAAAAAGTAATTGAACAAATTAAACAATCGTTTTAATTTTTCTTCGTAGAAGAAATTTATATCCGTTTGTTGATGTCATTTTAACCTTTATAGTTGTATTTTACATTGATAAGGATTCGTTTTGTAACACGTGTGTTGATAGACAAGTATAAAAAGTAACATTACTAAAAGAAATTATTTTTATTTATCTTCTTACAAGCTAGGCCGTCATTCGTGATTTTATGAAGCAATAAAAAAAATTTTCAAACTTCAATTGATATTGTATTTAAGAATTTCAATATGATATCAAAGAAAGTATATTCTCAACTTTAAAAATTTTGTCAATAATTCTACTAACGTGTCAAAGATATTTTTTAGTACCGAAATGCCTTAGAATATTTCTTGGAGGTAAATTTGTTAAAGTATGGAACCAATTGTTTTATATAGAATATAAACCATGAGAAAATAAAGTCTTCGACAAGCCGTTAAAGATGTGCGAAAGGAAGATTTTTTGTAATACACAGTCTAAGAGGAATTTGGAAGTAATGAGATAGAAATTCGGACTCGCTCAGACTGTGATAGACACTTTAGCAACGCTCTTGCCCATCGCAGCCTATGGTAGACTTAGCCATAGAACTAAAGCCTTCTGTGGAACCATCATGAAAAAAGATTGAATTTATGATATTTGTCTTTGGTCTTCTTTCCAAACTCACTGTAACATATCACGAATAAAATCTTTCATCACGGACATATCAGTTAGGTATGCACCAGCCTCAATTCGACTTAGAAATGTGCAGTTTCAATTTCCTGATCACACGAGCGTATTGATAGGTTGACACCAATGTTCACTAAAACTCTGGAGTATATCGCTACAAAAAAAAAGCATATTTTGATAGCATTAAGGTCTCACTGTTGCCGCGAACATGGATATCAATGTCATCTAGTGTTGCAGTGGATCCTGTGTCGGTAGCTCACTGTCAGTGTTTACACCAACACTAGACATCTATAGTCCAACATGATATTGAATCAACTGGATGCCCGTCCATCGAAGTGCCATTCTAACAGATTAATTATCGAACGCAACATTTGTTCCTGTGGATTCTAGTCCGAATGAAACTGGCACATATCTAATATTAATACCTTGACAGTTTCAAACTGCAGCATATGTTGCAGAATCCTTTGATTTAAAATATATGTAGATCAATCGTGTTTTACATTTTAATCCTACAGAGACTATACTAACAGGTTTTTTTCACCTCACATCCATAATCTCTTTTACTAAGGTCTGAATATCGAGACGACACCAAGACGAATTCGTGCATGATTATTATTCATATGCTTAACATATTTGCTTCATAGACTCAACAAAAAAGAATATAATCAGAGTAAAACACATTTTCAAATTTTTTACTTTACGAATATAATAATTATCAAACAGAAGCGAAAGAAAACTATGTAACCATACATAACTAAATCTATTTATCAATAACCATATGCATAAATTAATTCGAATATACTTGAACTCATAGTTACAACTAATGTCTTCATCGCCGATGATGATCGTAATCATAAAGATTGAAAATTTCAAAAACAAAATATTAAAATTATGTTTAACTGCACTTACAATTATTAGAATGAAAATAGTTGGTTATCATTAGAATCTCACAAGATATCTTTCCAGTAAAACGGAAGGAGACAAACATGATTCGAGACTCGAAAAGTGTTTGTCCCGTAGGACTCTTTTTATCATCGAATATTCTAAGGAGCTGAGTGTTCCGTTGCAATAAACTCATGAGATTGTGTTTTTATTTAAAATCCATCACTTCAAGTTTGTTTGTTTTTCATTGCGAAAACAAAAAATTCTTATTCTTTATTGTATTTTTTCTATTGGAATAAGTATTGTTTCTTCTGTTTTCGATGTATTTGTTGATAATTCAAATCGAATAGCATAAGACAGATAAGTTTCAGGATCAAATAAAATAAATGCTTTAGTTTCTAGTCCACGATATTGATGATGCATTCGATCTAAATGAACTTCAGTTGTTTGATTTTGTTTAGCCTCATATTCCATTGTACGCAAAGCTTTTCGTCCAAACATATTAGAATATGCACTAGGATTTTTAATTACAAGTTCATTTTCTTTATTTAAATATAATGCCATAAATATTCTTTGATCAGCATCACAATCATCAGCATATACAAATGCTATTAATTCATTAATTGATGATTGATTATTTTTTAAAAATGATTCATGTGTAATCAAATGAAGTGGTTTATTCAATTGTTCAACAACTAATGAACATTGTTTACCAAAATTATCATTTGCAACAATTTTAAGTTTAAATGGTTGTGGTAAACTTTTATGTATACGTGCTCGTGAGTAATTATCTCCACCAGGTTCACCTTTAATAAGTATATTTGCTTTAATACAAAATGAAAATAATTTATCTGGTTCAATATTAATAATAGAATCAGTTAACCATTTAGGTTCTTCATTACGTATTGCTATTGGTGCAATAGCAACATCTTGACATTCACGCCATGATCCATCATGTATTTGATAAAAAACAGTTAAACTAGCAACTGATACAGGTTTTTCAATTGGTGTTGAACGTTTTTGTTGTAAAATTTCAGGTAAAATAGTTGGTTTTTTTGAAAATATAATATGTGTTATAACAAAATATTGATGAAAAGTTTTATTTTCTGATGCACATGTATCTTGATTTGTATTAACAGTATTTGTATTTCCACATGCCATACGAATTAATGATTCACCTTCACATTCATGTTTTATTAATTTTAGATTTTGTGTATCAATAGAAGCAATATGTGGACCTATTTGTTTAGGTGGTGGAAGTTTAGCAGCAAGTTCTTTTAAACGTTGACGTTGTTGATCGGTGAGAATTTTACTATCAGTTGTTTCACCTGATAAATGAGTTATTTCACCTTTTTGTATACGCATACGAGAATGATCTAATAGAATATGCAATTTTTCAGATAAGACTTGATCACTTGAAGCAGTTTTTAAATTACATATAATAAATAAATCTTTATTTGAAATTGTATCATATTCCCATTTTGTTTCAATAAACCAATTTATAGATGATGGTTGATCGTCATTATTTGTATTATCAAGTCGAGAAATCAGATTGTCTAAAATAAAACTAATTAGATTTTTTTTTTGTGTAAAATTTCTGACAATGTAGATGATGAGATTAGGTCGTTTCAGAAGAAATTTAGATGTGCGGTCGATGTATGAGTTGAATATGATTTACAATGAGAGAATTTCTTTGTCTTTCCATGATAATTCTCATCCTTAAAAAATTCTTGTAAGTGCGCCTATCGTAAAGATGTGAGGAATACTTCTAATTGGTCAAATAGATGGGAAACTATCCGTATTTCTTGATCTGGACAAATCAGAAAAACGTAGTACTATTCTGTCATTTGTTACTTGTGCCAGGTAAAGGTTAAAAATTCTTTTTTCCTCAGTTCGGGTATAGGATAAAAATAAACTTACCCTCCTGTATCTCTCTAATGTTAAGCTAATAAACCAAGATAAAACAAAACAGGTTCAAACGTCATCTGAAAATTAGCTTGAAAAATGACAGGATAAATCTAAGTTTACAGACGAGAGCTCCTAGTGACTGCACTAGATTAGTCCAATTTTGTGAGTGACACCCATGGATCGAACTTTTAATAAAACGCAAAATTTTCAAGTGATGCCGTATATTATCACTGTAAATTTTCACTTTCTAAAAAATCTTATTCTGTTCCTTTATTGGTTCAAACATTTTCTCAATGAATCAATTATATTATCTATTTTTAATTCTATTTCTACTGAGAGTGGGTGTAGGCATGAATATTGATTTCAGTCACACCATTCTATCGGTATTTTTATATAGTCTCATACTTTTTTTCTTTTTTTTTGCTTGATTTACTGCGTGCTAGTGTCTATGATTGCGTAGTAAGAGTGCTATTGCAATTGTTATGGTTTTTTTTTTCTATGAATTATGTTTATAAAACGAAATCAATATTCTCGTTTACTGATTTACTTTTGTTCAAAATAAACGACTATTACCAGTATGGCAAGCTCATTATCTTTGGAAAAAATCTTTAACTAGATGAACGGTCCATGGGTTGAATTTCTTAGATTCACGAGGGAAGTTCTTCAAATGATCAATCGTGTTTGAACTAGAAGCATGTGCTTCATGTAGACCCTAATGAATCATGAATATCTCGAAATGATTCCGAGCATATAGCTTATTGCTATCGACACACGGTATTTTTCAATAAAATGCCGTGGTCCCTCTCAGAAACACCAGAAAAGTTAATTTTCGAATTTCGACTTGAAGCTTTGCATAGAAACAAGTCTTAAAGAGAACAGCTAATTGTGAAAGCTCCAGGTCATTTGATCTATTTCTGCCCTGAAATAACAACATCGAATCTGTGGGTGTATATGAACAACGTATAAAACGTCCTTTTACTATAGCTGTATCTAGGAATAGGAACAGTGAAAATATCTGAAACTTTCACAACAAACTATGCTCGTCAAGACTTGTTTCTATGCAAAATTTCAAATTGATATTCGAAAATTAGTTTTCCTGGTGTTCCTGAGGAGAACCATCGTATTTTATTGAAAAATCCAATAACAATAAGCTATGTGCTCGAACTCTTTTTGGCAAATTCATAACCCATTAGTATCTACATGATACGTACAAAAACAAAAGTACTTATCAAACTATCGAATATCAGATATTATCGAAAACTATACGAATCTTTTTTTCTATACTCAAACCTATGATATATTATATGTCAAGCATAACATATTTTTATATCGGTAAAAAATATTTTAAAATACCTTTTCGTTTTTCACTAGCAATTTTAATTAATTCATATACACTAAATATATAAAGACCGTTAATATCTAATGTTCCAAACATTCGTATAAATAATTTAGAAAAACTATTAAGACCAATTTGAATACATTTTTCTTGATTATCACTAGCATCATGTTGTTTAAGTTCGAACCATAATTTATCAAAATCAATTGTTGAATTATTTTCTCTTGTAAATGTTTGCAAATCAATACAAATAATATGTTCATTATCTTTAAGTACAGTTGAACATATATCTGATTTTGATAGAATAAAACCATCATGAGTTATTAATTGAACTATTTGTATATTATTATAAAATTGTTGATTTATATATTTTTGTAATGCTTGCATAAGTTCATTAATAGTTTTATTTGATGATGATTCAATAACATAAACAAATTTGATCATTGGAATGGTATCGGAATGGTAATTATTTTCTGTTTCATTGCCTAGTTGAACTTTTATACGTAATGATGACATTTTTTTCTAATGATTATATCAACAAAAATTCTACATTAATATGTTTAACCTGTTTTTTTTTTGTTCTGTTGTGTCCTCAACGACAGCATCGGTAAATAAAAAAAAAAGAAGAAGTGTGTCACGATAAGTTTTTTTTTTATTCTCTGCCGTTACTATGACAACAATGCATATATCGGATTTCAATATAAGAAGAAAATGATGTCTGAAAGCTTAAGTATTCAGATGTATGATTACAATCATAAATATTCTAGAAAGTCAAACAATGAAAAAAAAAAGTGATGATTTTGATATTAAAAATTTTGCAATTGTGTTAATCATTTTATAGAATGCTTTTTACTATTTTCTTCATTGTAAATTGCTCAACACAATCGCTACTCACAAGGTTTTTCAGAGTACTTTAATAAACATAAATAAACAACGTATATCGTCTGGTTTCTTGTAATTCATAGAGTGTTCATCTATAGATATGACAGAATGTTTTCATGTCATAATGGAAATAGTTATTAAAAAAACTTAAATATCCTTGCATAATATCGTTTATTATTCGTCAAAGATGCATCATTCTCTAAAAACGATTCATAGTTTTATCAAAGTATGGGTGTGGGTGTGGGTGTTGGTGTTGGCAATGCCTTCTCTCACACCCACACCCCTGCATTGTGCAGATCAAGAAATCGTGATGGGTATAAATTCAGTTGATGTTTAAAAACAATCGAATTGTTTAGCTCTTTGTTTTTATGAAAACTGATATTTTGGTGAAGATAAATTATCGACACACCAACATACGAAGATAGCAACAAATTAATACTCAATACTTTCTTGTTGAGCATATTCTGAATGAGATATTTGATATTTAATAAAAATACTTCTTTCTGTAGGAATTATATTAATATCGCCTATGATGGTGGCATGTTCTCTAGTCATAGGAACAAAACACTAATAATTAGTATGACATATCAAGAATATTTATAAGGCCACATACTACTCAATTGAATGTTGATCAAGCTTTGTATGAGACTGATTGATAATTTTAAGTAGATAACATTGTTTTGTTTTAAAATTAACAATATAATTGATTATATATAAATAGAAAACTAAGAAATATACGGATTTTCTTGTTGTTCATTTTTAAGACGATCAGCAACAACTTGTAAAAGAAAGAAATTATTCATAATTCGATATCCGTTCAAACGATTTTTGAAACCGTCTAATTAAAAAAGATCTATATCTGAATTATATCATTTTATATTTAGGGTATGGGTGGGTGTGAGTGTGACTCTGCGTGTGAGACTTCTTTTCATACACTCACATAGCCACGCCCACACCCTGAAAATTTTGAAGATTACTAAGAAATTTTGAAATTTACCGAAATTTCTCAGTAATTTTCTGTGATATTGAATATGTTAACAGTGATATTTGTATAAAATTTCTGCAAGTTTTCTCGTTAGAACTGAATCATTTCGAAATTTACTCCATATTTTGCTGATAATTGTGGAGGAATATTCCTTGTATTGAAGTATCTTCACATTCATTGTAGGGATAAGTTGCTGTAAATTCTGCAACATTTCCAAAATTTTCCATAAATTTCTGCTTATTGTTTTTCATCGATTATGATGCTGTGACGAAAATTTTCAGAGATAAGGAAATGTGATTCTCTAGAAATCTGAACCTAGTTTTGCAGATTATCTGAGGACGTAAGCGTAAGATTTGATGTTGAAGAAAAGAATTTACAAATATTTTGATCGTTATTTTTCAATTTTGTTTCTGTGTAAAATCTTTAGTCGATTCGGGTTCTAAGTGTAGATTATTGTTCGATATATTCCTTGTTATGAGTTCTAATAGTATGAAAAAATGGAATGAAATTTTTGATTTTATACATTCATATAAAACTATTTGAGTTGTCCTGTCAGATGACAATCAATTATAGATATGATAATACATACACATGTGAGTCTTGCAGTTGTTATACAAGGTGACACGACAATTCTACACAAAGATGTTTTCGCGTATAACACTAATACAATGACAATGATACACAAAACTATTTTTTTGAAGGTGGTGATGACGAAAACACATACGCAAAGGAAGCCAGATCTGTTGGATTCTTATATATCTGGCTATAGCTTAGTAGAGTTTGTATACTTACTAAATTATAATACTTAGGTCAATCCAAAAGTTCTGTCGGAGATACCTTGTTTCCGAATAGTAAGCTCAAAGAAGTTTTCTTTTTTTATGAAATGATAGAGAAAACGAAGCTCTATTGTTCTATGCTATTGGATTATACTTCGACTAATATTATAATAATAAAATTTCGATAAGAACTGTTTTTGTGTAAAACTTGAGCGTGTTTAAAATAACGGTGGGCATGGACGTCGAATCATATATTACAGAGTTTTTTGACATGACTTATTTAAGGTTTTCAATAGATTTCTTTGAAAGAAATCTACCTCATGAGGTGCTTACAATAAACTCTTAATTGTTAGGTGTGTATTCAAACTGCTAATGGAAGATCTAAAAATCTGCACAAGATTCAGATATTTAGAATTGATTATTCGGGAGTTATCGATATACTGGTCGAAGCTATAAGTGATTTTTATGGTAATTTCTGTAAAAATCAAATTTTTTTTGCTGTTTCCTTTTTAATAAGAAACCATTTTCTCACACTTAGAAAGTTGACTAAACAAACTTCAGACAATATGTTAGGAATAAATGTAATGTACGATTCGATGCATCTTCATCTTCTCTTTCTAATGATGAAAACTGCAGCTCTCTAGCTGTTTCCATTCTTGAGCTATTGCAAAAATACCCACGCCTATTATTATTTTAAACAGGTTCAAGTTTTACACAAAAACAGTTCTTATCAAAATTTTATTATTATGATATTAGTTGAAGTATGATTAAATGGTATAGAACAATAGAGCTTCGTTTTCTCTATCATCTCATAAAAGAGGAAAACTGCTTTGAACTTACTATTCGGAAACAAAGTATCGCCTACAGAACTTTTGGATTGACCTAAGTATTTTAGCTATATCAGACATATAGCAGCTGAGAAAACAGAACGAACTTTAAGTCTATGACAACTTTTTACTTTACTCATCGACATTTATCTACTCTTTAAATTTCAAAAATGTTCTAATAAGCTATTTTCCAATAGTGTCGGGTCTGCTTGAGGGTTCTCTCCATCTTTCCGAATATTAAAATCAAAATTTTTTCTACTGTTCGTATAACTTCGAAGTATCCTCTATCAAATGAGGAACTCTTCGTTGTTAATTAGTACAACTCTCGAAATCCTTAGCGAAAAAACTCATGCTGCGTTTATTCTTTGTATGCAAAATTCTCCTAATGATAATGATTATTTCTCATTCCAAATGTACTGAAAGAATGGATCACAGACCTCTAACATCACTGAACACGATCAATGTTCGATCACTTTAGTTGGAGAAAAAAGTCCTGTTACATACAAGAAAATTTGTTTTGTCTTTTTCTCAAAATCAATTTTTTTAACAAAAAAAAAATGAAGTTTTCTCATACATGGTACATACAATCAAAAATTCGACAGTCTCTAAAAACTCCCTGAAGAAAGCATCTGGAAATGTTGAGTCTACGACAACTTTTGTTCTGCTTATCAAGATCTATCTATCTTGAAAGTTTCATTCTTTTTTTTTGTCGAATCGTTCTCGAAAAATATCAGAAAGGAAAGTAAAATCTTCCTTAATTTAATTAAACAATCAAAAAGATGAACTCGCAGAATATTACATAAAAAATTTATTTTTGAAGAAATATTGATCATAAAAATCAAAAGAATAAAGATTTAAGCTAAAATTATTCTATGATTTGTAATAATGATCTTTAATTTTTTTTTTTTGTTTATCTTAATTATCAACAATTATTGAAAAGATCATTGATTGTACCTTCATGAAAAGACATTTATCTAAAATGAATTTTTCTTCTTAAGTATACCCATTTTTCAAAATGTCATTAATAATAATAAAATCAAACAAAATATGATTGGTTGTTTAATAGACAAATAAAAAGCAAGGTAAATATAACGTGTATGTGTGTGTGTGTACATATAATTTTTTCCTTTCGTTATTTTATTTCACTTCGCATTTCGTTGATTAGGAGGCGATCGAAATTACTCTAAGGCATCTGCCTATCTGTTTACATAAACAGAAAAAACAAAATATAATAAAATTTTATTCTTTGTGTCATTTTAGGTTTTTTTTTTCTTGTGTTTTTAATATGATTACCTAATATAAATAAATCCCGGTGATGCTTCAATCATTAGCAGCTAAAGATAATAATAATAATAATCGTACAACAGAAATTCTATCACAATTACGTGCTAAAATATGTTCTGTACATTTACCATCATCAATAAAACCTGTTGATATTAGTATTGTTATGGAAGTTGATAATAAACATTTTTATCGAACAGAAATTATACGTAAAAAAAATAAATTAAATACAAATTCATCAATAATAATTATAAATGAATCATTTGATATAATTGTTACATTAAATTCAAAAATATTAATAAAAATTCTTACACCAACACGTCTTTTTGGTAATCATGATATAGGACAATTACAATTTAATATTAAAACACTTATTAATGATTATCATTTATCTGAACAATTTAATAATTATGATACAATACCATCTTATCTTGTTAAATTACCTTACGATAATTTAACAAGATCATCATCAATATTTCGATCAAATGATACAAATAATCTTTCAAATGGTGGTATAATTGAAATTATTTTTTATGGTTCTTTACTTCGACAACTTGATGAAAATAGCAATCAACAGAATACAGAACAATCACGTCCATCATCATCATCTCATTCACTATTAGAAAATAATTTAGAAACACAAAATCAATCGATATCATCAAATGAACGAATCTCAGAAATGATAAATAATAGCATATCTTCAAGACAATCTCAATCGGATAATCAAATAAATGGTACTAGTATAGAAACAGAAACAGTAGCAGCTGCAGCAGCAGCAGTCATTTCTGATGGACATCAAACAGTAACAAAGAATGAAACATCCTTAGCAGAACCTAAAGAACAAGTTTGTAAAACAAAAAAATTCTATCGAATAATATTCTTTTTATTTTTATTTTTAGTTACCACCAGGTTGGGAAACTCGAGTAGATAATTTTGGTCGTCGTTATTATGTTGATCATAATCTTCGTCGAACAACTTGGTGCCTTAAACAAGAAACACTTCCACCTGGCTGGGAAGAACGTGTTGATAATCGTGGACGTGTTTATTATGTTGATCATACTACACGTACATCAACATGGAAATTACCAACTGCTACTCATTTATCAAATGTTGCTGAATGGCAAAATAATTATGCTAGAAGTCATTCTGTATTTAATCAATTTGAACATCGTTTTTTACCACAAACTGATACAAATACTCAATCAAATGATGCTTCCAATTCGACTGAAGAATCTTTACCAGAAGGTAAAATAGAATTTAAAAAAAAAATTTCTTAGAAATAGAGAGTATTCTCATATTTTCCATAATGTTTTTAATAATTGAATTGAACTTTAAATGTAGTTTTGTAGAGTCAAAAGAATACCACCGGATATGATTTTAAAATCTGCCATCCTTTAGATGAAATTCTGCACATTTTCGTTGACTAAATAGTCTTAGGGAGTGTATAATTTTTGGACGTTTTCGATAATAACTATGATAACCAGAATTTTTTAAATTCAACATTAAAACTAATAGTATAGGTTGACGTAGTTTTCATGTTCTACACAATGACGTATCGATCATGTTCATTGATTAGTTTATATAGGATCATACAGATACGATATCATACCTGTATAATAGAAAAATTATGGATACCACGCACGTCCAAAAGTCATAGACCCCTAAGACTGTTCAGTCCACGAAACTTCTGTTTCTCGTTCGACGAAAAAAAAAACAAAATAAACAGATAGAAATGTACAGAATTTCATGTTCTATCTTTCTATTCTATTGATGGGATGACAGATTTATGATTTTATCCGACAGTGTTCTTTAAGATAGTTACTACATTGTAATTTTTGAGTTATTATTCTAAAATAAAAAAATATTTTTTCTAAGGTTGGGAAAGAAAACATGATAATCAAGGTCGAACTTATTTTCTTAATCATATATCTAAAACAACTCAATGGGAAGATCCACGACGAATGGATAATAATATATTTGATATGCCATTACCACAAGGTTTTGAAATGCGTTATACAAAAGAAGGACAAGTTTATTTTCTTGATCATAATACAAAAACAACAACTTTTCGTGATCCAAGAAATGGTCTTATGCCTGTAAATAAAATAAATTATTTTATTAAAAATAATTCTTTTTAAATTTCTTTTTTTCTAGTCTATACTTGAATCAAATGTAGCAGAAATACCAAATTATCGACGAAGTTTTTCACATAAAATTCGACAATTTCGTTATTTATGTACAACAAATGCTACACCTGGTCAATTAAAATTAACAATACGTCGAGATAATCTTTTTACTGATTCTTCTAGAAATATAATGCAATGTCAATCATCTGAACTTCGTCGTCGTTTATATCTTTTATTTAAAGGTGAAGAAGGTCTTGATTATGGTGGTGTTGCACGTGAATGGTTTTTTCGTTTATCACATGAAGTACTTAATCCAATGTATTGTCTATTTGAATATGCTAATAAAAATAATTATTATCTTCAAATTAATCCGGCATCATCAATTAATCCAGAGCATTTAACTTATTTTCGGTAAGTAAAATAAAATCAATTCTTAATTATTCATTTAATTTAATAGAATTCTTTTAGATTTATTGGTCGTTTTGTTGCTATGGCATTTTATCATGGAAAATTTATTGATAATGGTTTTAGTTTAGCATTTTATAAACGTATGCTTGGTAAAGCATTAACAATGCATGATTTAGAATCATTAGATCCTGAATTTTATAATAGTTTATTATGGATACATGAAAATAATTTAGATAATAATGATAATCTTGAATTATATTTTAATACATCATTTGAATTACTTGGAAAAATTGAAAATATTGAATTAAAACCAGGTGGAAATGATATTAAATTAACAGAAGAAAATAAAAATGAATATTTAGAATTAATGACAAGATGGAGATTTACACGTGGAGTCGAAGAACAAACAAAAGAGTTTTTATATGGATTTAATGAGGTATTTTTTTTTCTTTTTTAATAAATTTGTTTTTTTTTTGTGTGTGTTTCTATTGAAAATATCTTCTTATTAGCACAGTAGCTTAGATTGTGTAAATATTTATTTAAACTTGTTTTTTGTTTTTAATATAGCTTAGAAACAAAAAAAAGATATAGGCGAAGAATGACTTTTTATTATTTGATCGTATAGTGCAAAAAGAAAAATTCCCAACAAGAATTATAAGCATCTTAAATGAGTTAGCTTCTAGAATTTTACAACACTGTCAATAGAATTGATTATCACTACAAAAGTTCTTTTTTTTGAATATTCAATAAAATTTTGTCCTTATTTTGTTCTAACTTTTTGAAGGAGATGCATCAAATAGATTTGTTAACGTGTTAGAATTAAAATCTCAATAACTCAACAATTACAACAGCTAGTAAACTGTGATTTTGAGTAATCGAAAGAGAAGAACTTCGAACGTCTTTTTGTCTAACACTATATAAGAGAAAAAACTTTTATAACCTATTATCTTCGCAAAACATTCAAAAAAATGCTTGAGAGTGGTGCTCTATTTCTATGTAATTTTGATTTTGATATGTACTTCAAATAGAAGGACTTCAGATGGATATCTTCGCATATTTCAATGTTGAATAAACAAAATCGTATATCTATTAGATGAAATTATATAGGATTATGTTGGTTTTTTTACAAATCTTTTGACTTTTTATCAGAATTTCCTTGAAACAAAACATCATTTTCATCCATTATTTTGCGAAGATAATTAATTTTTTTCTCTATAGTATTAAACAAAGACATCGTCCAAAGTTTTTCTCTTTCGATTGCTGAAAATTGAAGATCATTAGCTGTTGTTATTATCGAGTAATTGAGATTACAATCATTCATCTTTGATTCTGACGTAGACATTAATTTAAAAAAAACATTCCTAGGTGAGAATCTGGTTTTGAACTGAAAATTATATCTTGTGTTAAAACCATGTTTTCAATTGTTTCTACTCATCTCAATCTTGATTTTCTCACACTATATCAGTGTAAAATGTGAAACTCTTAGTGTTTCTATTAGTTCAAACAGCGAATGTTCGACCGTATTGTCTTTTGAAATATAGGATTTACTCAGAAACAAAAACTTATTAAACCGTACTCTATGATGTCGCGTCTACTATCTATATGAGTTCCTATATTGGTCTTTCTTTGTCCTTGATCTATCTATATGCGTAAATGATTTGTTAATTTTCACAGACACTTCGTTCTTTTCTCTTTTCCTGATTAAACAGATCATATGGAAATCACAAACGAGTATATACAAATATATATATATAGAAAGAAAACAATAACAATGCTCCGTGTCCTAGTTGTAATAATAATTCATTTCTAAACAGAAACATTTTTTTCATATAAAAAGATGTCCATAGTTTCAATAATTTACGAGATAGCATTTAATGAATATTACAGAAGTTCTTAAATGATTCTAAAATCGATCATATTTGCACATTAAACAAAAAGCAAACTCTTTGAAACTTTGATAAATCATTTTAGTAATTCTTTAGTTGTTCGTTTTTCTATTGAATACTAAATAGATACAATAATCTGTCGAAATTTTCTTTTAATGCGAAAATAATGATTTTTAAAATTGTTCAAAAGTTTTTTTGAATACCGTTTATTGAGAGAATAAGAAAATATGATTTTTGAATTTATTTTAGGTTGTACCTCAACAATGGATTCAGATATTTGATGAACGTGAATTAGAATTACTTTTATGTGGTATATCAAAAATTGATATACTCGATTGGGAACGTAATACAATATATAAGAATTATACAGAAACAACTAAACAAGTACAATGGTTTTGGCAATTTGTACGTGAAATAACTGATGAACAACGAGCACGTTTATTACAATTTGTTACTGGTACATGTCGTGTACCTATTGGTGGTTTTGCTGAATTACTTGGTAAATATGATTATTTCTTTTTTTTTTTTTTGTTTAATTTGATTTGTTTTTTTTTCAGGATCAAGTGGACCACAAAAATTTTGTATAGAAAAATATGGCAAAGAGAATATATTACCTCGATCACATACATGTTTTAATCGATTAGATTTACCACCATATAAAAAATATGAAATTTTAAAAGAAAAACTTTTATTTGCTATTGAAGAATGTGAAGGTTTTGGTCAAGAGTAATTCAAATAAAAAAAAAAAAAAACGTTCCTATTTGCTGTATGTTAATTGTGAATGATGTTTTTCTTTTTTGTTCTTATGTTCAATCTCACTCTATGTCTTTGTTTTGTCCAATATATGCATTTCAAATTATTTCTTTTACTGACAGCGAAAAAAAAAAAACAGAGAGATGATTTCTGTTTTTTTGTTTGTCTCTCTTCTGTTTGTAATGCGATATTTTTCTGTCCATTATCTTCATTTAATTGATTGTTTTTTTTTTTTTGTTCTTCTATTGTTATAACAGTACATATTTTTTTCTTTCTTTCAAAACTTTTTATGAAACGATTGTAGAAAACAAAACACTCATTTTGTTTTATTTTTTGTTTTTCTATCCAATATGTATGTACAATTGGATTTGAAAATGTATTTATGTGCATAGGGAAAATGATTGTCTTCTTCTTCTTCTTCTTCTTTATTGTTCGGAACTTTCTTCTTTTGATTCAGAAATTAATTGATTTATGTTTTTGTTTGTTTTTTTTCAAACATTTATTGATTAATAGATTTATCGCAGTGAGTTTGAAATTTAATTTAAAGTTTACTAAAAATGTAAAAGATCTCATTTAATTGTGTTGAATTCTTGTACGATCGTGATATTTTACAAAAAGAAAATACATATATTTGATTTAGTCATAAGAATGACTTTGATCATAATATTGGAATATGGAGTATATAAAAAGAAATATATCAAATAAAAACTCTTTTAATAATCTACACATTGTCATAGTAAAATGTTAGAAAAATGATTCATTTAATGATATACAGTGGGGTGCAAAAATTTGATAAAATTATCCCACTGAACACGATGAATATCATAAGTTGTTTTTATATATAAGTCGCACATACAATAGAGTATCCAAATATAATAATCCGTAACTAGCTCGCTTTCTCCCCAACCAAAAAAGAAGTAAACACTGCTTTCATTGATGCGCTCAAATAACTTAGGATCGTTTTGCCTATGTACTTGGATTGTATCCTAGCGTAAAATGTGTGTTTTGAAGAAAAGTGAAAGAAGCCATGAATCTCGTTTTGGATCAAGGTTTTATAGCCGAAGTTTGAGCTCGATAGGATTTCTAAGACAGGAAACAAACTCAATACCACCTTCTCAACTTGTGACTTCTATTTGTCCTTGAAGATGAATCTTGAGAATTACTCACTTGCAACAAAATTTCATTTACTAGCTGTGGTCTGTCTACTCTGAAAATTTCAAGTCGATTGGACAAGCCATTATCGAGATAATATAAAAATTGGGTGAGTGCACCATTTGTGCTGGAAGTTCGACAGACCATGATATTCCATTTGCTTCTAAGATGCCTTGTGGTTGAAGCTCATTTGCATTTTGTTAGATGCTATGGACAGAGACCTTCTCTAAGCAGACGATTTTCGTAGCTCAATGATTGCTGTAGTCCAGTGAGTGTAAGATGACCGCTCGATATGACAGAAAAGCGGTGGATACTCGAATCACGACGTCTCTCAGCCTATGGAACCATAACTTTGGAGGTGTCTCGCTCTCACCATAATCTATAGCATCTCCTTGACTGCGATGGAAGTTTCAGAGGAATCCATTCATGCATTTCACAGATATGGTTCGAGAAAATGCATATATGCAACGGCAATTTTTTTTGCACTCCACTGTATCTTAGATTCTAAAAGAGAGTGAAAAATCAGTAGAACTTATTCAGTTAGTACCTGAATAAAGAAAATAATTTAAGTAAACGAATTATGACATTTCACTATCTATTTCAATACAAAATTTGACCTTTTTACTACGATATTTTCCATTAGTAATTTACTATAATTAAACGCAAAGATCTCTCTGTTTTTCTTTTTGACATATACAATTTTCCAGATCATTTCTTGTTGATTATTTTGATAAATAAGGCTCTAGAACAATTTGATGTTTTTCCAGCACTATCATTTGTTGATAAAAATCGAAAATTCTTTTTTTTTCATTGAAAGGATTACGGAAGAAACCTTAACGAAATGATATATGTCAAAAAGTTTTTAGATACATCTATGTCTTTGTGATTGACTATTCATGAAAGTGTACTCTACCAAAATTTAACTGTAGCCGCACAGGTTTCTCGAAAATTATTTGTATATAAGAAAATCAGAGAGGAAGACGCGCGGGTGTTGGTGTTTATATGTTATTGTGAATGTGAATGCGATTGAAAGGAAGAACAACAGGATCATCCATGAGCAATATCTCAGAAGAAGATAGATAATGAATTGATTTTTCTTTTTTTTAATGGAATAATTTTATATTCATTGGAAGTCGACGACCTTCAAATTTTCGATGTATAGATTTAACAAGATGGTTAAGTCGCTGAAAACGATGTACATGTAAAATTGAATTGACTTGCTAATTTTATACAATTAACGACAGTGTTTGATTTACTTAAAAAATCATCATTTTGTCATTGAATTTAACTTATTGTGATACTAAACATGACAATTACAATGTTTCTTTCGTAATCCGATATTATCAAAATGACATTAGACATTTCTATCGAAAGAATTGTAATGAGAACAATATCGTCCTTATCATCTTCCGGACATTTATAAATCAAAAAAATAATTATACGTATAACATATTAATGAATTTTATTTCGTTCTGTTTTAGAACTCATTGAAATTTATCTATTGTCTTAGAAATTCGCCATAGGTATAATAATAGAAGTTAATGTTATGCTGGAGAGAAGGGAACCTGCGGGTCCGTGTTTTTTTCCACCAATATTTGGCAATACAATGTAAATGATCAAATAGAGGATCAGCATTTTAGGTATTTATGCGCTACTCTCAGGAAAAAGTCAATATACAGCTATTCCTGGTTGTTCACTTTCCCATCATTCGATGCAAGGGAGCTGTGAGTTCACATCTTTTAAGACCCAAACTTAATAAAAAATAAAACCTTAGCTTCGGATCTGAAACGATCCGCAGCTCCCTATTCAAGCGATAGCGAACTCGATAATGTATGTCAATGTTGGCTTTGATTGCTATGAATAAACACATTAATTTAATTCGATTATCATCCGAAGAATGTATACAAATTCATTGACTTGTATCGAATAAACCTTTCTCCATACCATAAGACCCTGGGTCTTCTATTACGTCCGGCGCATCATCCCTTCAAGCGAGTCTTCTATTGCGGGAAGAGCTTACTGTCAACAACCAAATTCGGTCGTGTTTTATCTCTTGAACAATGTAAACAATCAATAAAGCTACCGCTTTCTGTGTTTACCCACTATGAGTATTTGTTGAACTTTGATCATTGATATAAAATGGATTGCGAGGTTCGTATCTTCGACATAGGATTTACGCAAGAGAAAAAAGCGAAACTTCAGTTCTCCGAAGTGCGATACTTTGGAGGATTGATGTCTTGCTTTTTCTCATTTGTGTTTATGTTATTATCGATGGAATTTACTGATGATAAAATCAATACAAAAATATATTCAGCTATTCTTTCAAGCTTTTATCACTCATTGATTTTTTTTCTATATAACATTGTTGAATTCTCGTCTAATATATCTGAACATGACAATCAAGATTATCATTTACTTATGTTATTATTTACATAGAACATCATATCAATATCTATCCATATATTTATTTAGTCTATAAACTGAAAAGTATTTGTCTGAAATACGAATAACTCCTAATCAATTATAAAAAGATTTTGTTTTTAGACGAACTATATAATCAATAAAGTCTTCTTTTTTTCCATTATTAAAAGAATGATAACAAGACAAAACAAAAACGTTCGTTCATTCATAGCGTCGATATAAATTATAATAAAATAAGTTCTTTTTTTTTTTTTTTTTCGTTTTCTATCAATGCCACCACGATATTAAGGCAATAGAGAAAAATAAGTACCATTCAATAATTAAAGTTGTTGCTGCTGAATCAAATGCTTCACCACTATAAAATTTTCGTGCACTTTGTCGACAACGTACATCAGTAACAGCATGATCACATCCATAGAAACCACCTTTAAATATTGAAAATATACGAAAATAAAAATTATTTAAAAAAAAAGAAATCTTTTCTCTATTTTACCATGACAATTTAAATTAGCTTGTTTCATAATATGTTCCATAAAATTTGATAATTGTTCAACATCATCACGAACTTCAATAATTGAACAATTTGTTATATGTTTACCAGCACATTGAATATAATCTGTTACTGCTTTACACCATTGAATTTTTTCTTGTACACTCCATGTAGTTTCAAATCTCAAACGATCATCCAATATATCATTACATTCTTTTCCAGCCTATTCTTTTTTATATGATAACTATAGAAAACCAGAATATACAATACAGACCTCTTCGACTTCACATGGTGGCATTGTTGAAGTTGTTGAACTTGTTGTTGTTGTTGTTTTTGCTGGTGCTAAGGTTGTTGTTTTACATTTATAATGAATGATTGTACTACCACCAAGACCAGCACAATATCTACCTAATCGCCAACCCTAGCGTATCAAATTTAATAGGAAAAAGCAAACAGTTTGAAATATATGAAAATTAAATTGTAGGTTTTTTTCTCTGCTCGTTTGATTTAATTTAATATACGATAAATGAAAACAAAAAAAAAGAAGAAAGAATACATTTCTATTACATCAAACTGAGAGAAGACAATTCAGATTAGTGAAATAAATTTTCTTTAGATAAGACAAGTTGTAGTTCCTATACAAACTAACCAGTCACAGGTACACTATAAAGATAAGTGAAATTTTAAGATACTATTCAAACTAGGGTAGTTACTATGACTTTTTCAAATGATGTCATGTCAATGTAATTGAATAGATAATCCTAGTACTACAAATATTCATTTCTAAATCTAAATAGAAAATTTCTATTAGAATTCTAATCGGATAATAAAAAGTGTGTAGATTGAATCGTACAAAGAGATCATTTCGCTATTTACGTTCGATTAAAATTTCTTTTTTTATACAAAAAAATCTT